TGGGATGATGCTAACTTGATTGTGGTGGATAATCTTTTTAGTGAGTTCTTGGATTTAGTTTGCAATTGTTTTATTGAGTTTTTGCATCTATGTTCATAAGGGTTGGTCTATAATTTTCTTTTTTTGTTGTATGTGGTCTAGCAATAGGGCTTCATAAAAAGAACTGGGGGATGTTTCTTCAGTTTCTATTTTGCAGAATAATTTGAGGAGGGGATGTATTAGTGCTTCATTGAAGGTCTGGTAGAAGAATTCTGCACTGAATCCATTTGTCCCTGGGCTCTTCTCAGTTAAAAGAGTTTCCATTACTGCTTCTATCTCACTAGGGGTTACACGTCTTTTAAAAATATTTACCCATCTTGATTTAACTTGTTAGATTATATATATTAAGAAATTCAAGCCGGGCGTTGGTGGCACATGCCTTTAATCCCAGCACTCGGGAGGCAGAGCCAGGCAGATCTCTGTGAGTTCGAGGCCAGCCTGGTCTACAGAGCAAGATTCAGGACAGGCACCAAAACTACACAGAGAAACCCTGTCTTGAAACCACCCTCCCCCCCCCAAAAAAAAAGGAAAGAAATTCATCCATTTCTTTGAGGTTTTTCTGGTTGGCAAAATACAGATTTTAAAAGTATGTCCTTATGAGTCTTTGAATTTCTTCAGTGTCTGTTTTAATATCTCCCTTTTCCTCTCTAATTTTATTAAATTGGATTTTTTGTTAATTTAATGTTTTATCAGTCTTGTTGATTTTTTTCCCTAAGAACCAACTCATTGTTTCAGTGATTCTCTGTGTCTGTGTGCTTGTTATTGTTTATATTCATTGATCTAAGCCCTGGGTTTGAGTCTTTCTTCCCATCTATTTTTTCTGGGTGTTGTTTTGTTTTGTTTTCCTAAAGCTTTCAAGTGTATCACTAAGTTATTAATATGGGATCTCGCCTGTTTTGTGTTGTTGTTGTTGTTGTTTAACGTAGCAGTGCTGTGAGCTTTCCTCTTAGAACGGCCTTCATTGTGTCCCACAGATTTTGGTATTTTGTTTTCAATTCCAAAATTCTATTCTAAAAAGTTTAAAGTTTTCTTAATTTCAGCCTTGATCCAATTTTCACTCAGTATTGTGTTGTTTAGTTTCCATGAATTTGTGTACTTTCTGCTGTTTCTGTTGTTGTTGATGTCCAACTTTATCCCATGGTGATCAAATAGGATACTGGAAGTTATTTCAGTCTTCCTCTATCTGTTAAGACTTGCTTTATGGAGGGATGCATGGATTGCTCTGGGGAAATAGATGAGATCTCCTAGGTAAATTGTGGGCTGGGGGGGGGGAGGTAGAGGGGAGGGGATAGGGGATAGGAACACGAGGGACCAGGATGGCTGATTTGGAGGACGGATAGAGAAGGAGAGCAATAAAAGAGATATCTTGGTAGAGGGGGCCATTATGGGGTTAGGGAAGAACCTGGTGCCAGGCAAACTCCCAGGAATCTACAAGGATGACCCCAGCTAAGACTCCTAGCAATAGTGGAGAGGGTGCCTGAACTGGCCTTCTCCTGTAATCAGATCGGTGACTACACTAATTGTCATCAGAGAGCCTTCATCCAGTAACTGATGGAAGCAGATGCAGAGATCCACAGCCGAGCACTGGGCTGAGCTCCAGGAGTCCAGTTGAGAGAGGGAGGAGGGATTATATGAGCAAGGGGGGGGGTCAAGATCATGACAGAGAAACCCACAGAGACAGCTGACCCAAGCTCATGGGAGAGCACAGACTCTAGACTGACAGCTAGGGAGCCGTCATGGGACCAGCCTAGACCCTCTGCATGTGGGGGACAGTTGTGCAGCCTGGTCTGTTTTTTGGGAACCCTAGCAGTGGGACCAGAACCTGTCCCTGGCACCTGAGCTGGCTTTTTGAAACCTATTCCCTATGGTGGGAGGTCTCCCTCAGCCTTGATGCAGCGGGAGGAGCTTGGTCCTGCCTCACCTTGATATGTCATGCTTTGTTGACTCCCATGGGAGGCCTGACCCTTTCTGAATGGAGGTGGAGGAGGAGTGGATGGGGGTGGGGGTAAGAAGGGAGGTGTGGGGGGGGAATGGGAGGAGAGGAAGGAGGGGAAACTGTGGTTAGGATGTAAACTAAAAAATTTAATAAAAAAGAAAGCAAGCAAAAGACTTGCTTTATGTCCCAATATGTGGTCGATTTTGGCAAAAAGTTCCATGGGCTGCTGACCAAAAGTATATTCTCAGTATTTGGGGAGAATGTTCTGTAGATGTCTGTTAAGTCCATTGACTTAGGATATTATTTAGCTCCAGAGTTCCACTATTTGGTTTTTGTCTGGGTGACCTATTGGTGAGAATGTGGGTGTGAAGTCACCCACTATCCCTGTGTTAGGGTTGAGAGGTGACTTAGATGCAAGAGTGTTTCTTTTATGAAATTGGGTGTCCTGTGTTTGGTGTATAAATACTTCAAGTTGTTCTTTTTGGTGGGATTTTTCTTTAATAACTATGTAGTATCTTTCTTTGTCCCTTCTGATTAGTTTTGAAGTCTCTGTTGTTAGACATTAACATAAATGCGAAACTTCTGAGTGTTACCATTACAAAGCATCAACCTAGCCAGAGCCAGTGTGCCAGTGTGGCCAGACCCCTTAAGGGGTTGCAGACCACATGCCCTGGCTGCTCTCACCTGGTTCCTGAAACCGACTGCAAGCAGATAGGCCTCGACAGCAGTGCTCTGTTTATTATCTGGGCCAGAGTGACTATCTGAATAAGGAAGGGTTGGGAAGGCTGACCGAGCCTGGAGCCAGATCAATTTCTCCCGGTAAAGAACAATGCAGCCATGTCCTTGTGGTGTCCGGAGGCTTAGAGTTGGGGTTGTACTAGATGCAGGTTTGGGGTCCCATTCTCATTCTCTCTCTCTCTGTCTCTCTGTCTCTCTGTCTCTGTCTCTGTTTCTCTGTCTCTGTCTGTCTGTCTGTCTCTCTCTCTCTCTCTCTCTCTCTCTCTCACACACCCACACACCCACACACCCACACACACACACACACACACACACACACACACACACACACACAGGGTCTTGCTTGTTTCTCCTCTGTTCTTGTTTGTGAGCTTGCCTGGTTTTCTTGCCTCACCTCCCAGTCATGTCTTATCAGACAGTGTATGGTCAGTGCTCACAGAAACTGTAGTACAAGACACATTATTGGTAGCTCTGTAGAAGTTCCAATGCCATTGCATTGTTGGGGTTAAATCAGTGTAAGGTTGGAGGAGAGGCAGGTCTGGACAGTACAATTGGTATTTTGTAGCCCCTTAGTATCTCTCCCATCAACTAGTCTGAAAAAAGGGTTGGCCGGGAATTCCATCAGAACTGGATCTACCATAGCCAAACCACCTGAGACCCACAGCAAGGGTCCTGTGTCCTCACTGCTCAGGCAAAATCACTTACAGTAGAGACAAGTCGGGGCGGTCCGGGTTCTGAGTTTGGAGGTAACGGGCTACACCTGTAGGTTATGGTGGTCTCTTCTGACAGCAGTGAGGAGAACCTAATGCTTTCATTCCCTGGCCCCTCTAGTCTGCAGCTCATGAAAAGCTCCCAGGGAACCCCCAGGCTGCTCACTCGGGAAAGCTGGTATGCTGGCTGGGCCAAGCCAGGATTCCTACCTGCTCTATGAGGTTAAGGTTTAAGGTGGACGTGACTCCCTTCCTGGAGAGAGAGAACATGCAAGAGAGTCCCACTGTAACCCCAGACCAGCACCAGCAGGTGGTGTGAGGTGACCTGTGAGGGCATCAGTCGGACAGAGCTGAGCTTCAGGTTTAGTCTTCCTTACCCAGTTTTTCTTCCCACGAACTTTGAGACCGCCAACAACCCTATCTAGTCTTCCTGAGCCCTACTTCCCTCTTGGTTCACTGTTCACCCCGAGTGGCGCACTTGTCTGTCTCGGTAATTTCATCTGGACTCTGTTCGCCTAGACTTCTCTCCCGAGACACTTGTTACTTCATTGCCTGCTGCTTATCCATCATGCTTCAGCAATGAAAATCACTTTCTTAGGAAAGCCGTCATTGGCCATTCTGTAGACCTCTGCTGGCCAGTTTGGTAGTCATTAGCCATACATGGCTATTAAGTAAAGCTATTCTGTAGACCTTTTGTGGCCATTTGGTAGTCATTAGCCATACATGGCTATTAAGTAAAGCTGTGCAGCCCCTCCATCACACCAGCCCAGCCGTCAGTCAAGTGCTCGGGGCTATGTGTGATGAGGGTTTATCTGCACACCACACATGCAGGGCATTCCCATCATCACAAGATGCTCAACGGTCAGTGCAGCCCTGATCTGCCCAGCCCTGTGGTTACACTCTGAGTGTTTGGACTCCCCTTAGCATATCTCACAAGTTCGTACCGCTTCAGCTTGATACCTGGCACCTTTAGGCATCTGATACTGAGCTCACAATACCGTGTCTTATGTAACACCCCATTTGCCAGCTTTCTATTCGCCTACAAGCTAAGAAAAACACTTTCTGTCATTGGTGTTCCCTGTTAGCACAGTGAAAGCTCCGCTCCGGTGAGTTTCTTTTTGCCTTTGCTGCCCGCTAGCCCAGCCCCACCTGGCTCCTGCCTCACTGCTGAGCTCTGACCACTGCCCCATCCACATAATGTGTGAGTTATCTGTGCTGTTTACAACTAGCTCTCCAAGATGCTTGCAGAAGCCATGGGAGTATTTGGGATGCCGGCCACTTTCTATCCCTCACGGCAGAGAGTCACCGCAGCCATCCAAAAGGCCTGCTTGGCTTCTTTCTCACAAAGCCAGCAAATGAGCTCTAGACAAAGAGTCCAGGGGTACTGTATCTCTGGCTTCCATGGTCTCAAGAACACACAGGGCACAGGAAGGTGGCAGCATGTGCCCAAGGCCACCTTTCAGCTATGGCTAGGAGGAAACTGAAAGAACATTCTCGAAGTTCCAGCCCCAAGACAGAGACGGGTGTTGTCTCCAGAAGCCCGTGGATAATGCTCGGCGTCCCTTTCCTTATCCCAGGGCAGCCTGGACCAGCTGGATGAGGTGGCTGCTCTGATCGCGGCGACAGTCCACGACGTGGATCACCCTGGAAGGACCAACTCCTTCCTGTGTAACGCAGGCAGCGAGCTCGCTGTGCTCTACAACGACACCGCGGTCTTGGAGAGTCACCACACAGCCCTGGCCTTCCAGCTCACGGTCAAGGACACCAAGTGCAACATTTTCAAGAATATTGACAGGTATGTTGGCGCTGGACTCCTGTGCTTAGGCTTGTGAAGCTAAAGGAGAAACTACGTTTTCTCTGAACACTCAGCTTCCTCGAAGATGGAAATGGACATAACAGTTGCCCACTGCATAGGATTATAAAATAGCTTTGCCGCCTAAACTTAATTGTACTTTTCAGGCTGCTTTTCATGTTTTAAAATCTCATTTTTTTTAGTCTTCGGTAAGTCCATGAAAATAAATGGTTTTTTCTGTTTTGTTTTTTTGTTTTGTTTTGTTTTGTTTTTTTTGTTTTGTTTTATGCACTGCAAAGCACTACCTGAATGCTGACAGGGTACTGACAAGTCTGCCAGGTACTTTTACCTTCCCAGGAGGGCATTCCATCTTTTCTGTGGCTCAAAAACAATGCATCATCTTGCATTTCCAGCTGAGTTTTGGCCACTAAGACTCCTTCCTCAGGAGGAGGTCTCAGTGAAGATGCTGAGGCCCAGCTGGGCAGGTTTCCCTGTACTATTTGGTGTCCTCTGCAGAGAGCAACCCAATGTGATGAGGCAGGGCAACTCTCGCCCTGCCAGCAACACGTGTGTGACTATTTCCTGCACACATCAGCGGCTGGGCAGAGTCCTGGGCAAAGGCCAGGCGGTCACTTGGGTCTCATGACATTGTCGACATGAACATATCAGTTTAGGCTCTAGAAAAGCCTATGAAATTATGGAGAATGGTTGTTCTAATTTGGACTTAAGTTCTATCAGTATCAAGGACCTGTAGAGAATGATTTCTTCTCAGGAGCCAATTTGCTTAGCTCCTCCTTTGGCCTCTTCAAGTTAGTAAAAGATAGGAATTCTCTGATAACCTTGGGCCATTGCTCCAACCACTGCAACATCTATCAATTGCAAGCTAGAGAATTAGAGAAAAGGAAAAGCTTCCTCTAGACCATCAGAAGAAAGTGTGGCAGTTCTCTCCAGTAGGAATCGGTCTGTATGGAATGCAAACATCTCATCAGGCTGCCACTTTGGTCTGTTCCTTCCTTCTACTTCCTTGTCCTAGTGTTTGCAAAGGAAGGGGTGGGAAATTCCTTTGGAAACAACTGTCCACCACATGGCATGTGCTTTCTTTTAACATCCGTGTGAAGAAGAGTCAGCTGTCCTGGAGAACATGGAACAGCATCAACAACTTGGGCTTATTGGGAGCATGAACAGACGGACCCTGGGATCAGGAGTCACTTGACTCTGCCCCCGCTATGTCCCAGGTTGTAGGGAGACACAGCAGCAGGGCAGTTCTGATTTAGGACGTGATGTGAACAGGGACCTTTGTCTTCTTATGTAGGAACCATTATCGAACGCTACGCCAGGCTATTATCGACATGGTTTTGGCCACGGAGATGACAAAACACTTTGAACATGTGAACAAATTTGTGAACAGCATCAACAAGCCCCTGGCAGCTGAGGTGAGCATCCCTATGTAACAAGATACAGCAGTGTGTTTCCATGAGGGCCTGTTCCGGCAGCAAAGCCTTTTCTCCTTTTGGAATATGAGGTGATTATCAGCCTAGAGCTGGAAAAGGACTGCAAGTCCAGGCGCTTGTGTTTCTCGGGGATGAGACAGAGTGACAGCTGTCTACTGCAATTTTGTGCTCCTTGAAAGAAAGGCCCTGAGATAACGTGGCAAAGGGGGTTAGGCCCAGAGTATGTAATAGTAGGAGCCCGCAGATGAGCCGAGACTAGCATGAATGGTGGTTCAAGCTGAGACTAGCATGAATGGTGGTTTGAGCCGAGGCTAGCATGAATGGTGGTTCAAGCTGAGACTAGCATGAATGGTGGTTCAAGCTGAGACTAGCATGAATGGTGGTTTGAGCTGAGAGTAGCATGAATGGTGGTTTGAGCCGAGACTAGCATGAATGGTGGTTTGAGCCGAGACTAGCATGAATGGTGGTTCGAGCTGAGACTAGCATGAATGGTGGTTCAAGCTGAGACTAGCATGAATGGTGGTTTGAGCTGAGAGTAGCATGAATGGTGGTTTGAGCCGAGACTAGCATGAATGGTGGTTTGAGCCGAGACTAGCATGAATGGTGGTTTGAGCCGAGACTAGCATGAATGGTGGTTCAAGCTGAGACTAGCATGAATGGTGGTTTGAGCCGAGACTAGCATGAATGGTGGTTTGAGCTGAAAGTAGCATGAATGGTGGTTTGAGCCGAGACTAGCATGAATGACGGCAGAGTCCCAACACACTTTCTGTTCTTTGATCTTAGGATTGCAAAGTTAAAGAATGCTTCAAAGAACTATACTCTTCTCACCATCTGAGGACTACAGGGAAACACGTTTAGTAGCTCTTTTCTGTTGCTGTGATAAAATAACCTGACAAAAAGTGTGTTAGGGAAGAAAAGGTTTATTTGGGTCCTAGGTCAGTCTCTCACTGAGGGAACTTAAGGCAAGAACTCAAGACAGGAACCTGAAGGCAGAGATGCTTGCTCTTTCACGCAGCATTAATTCTGACCAGGGAACTCACTCCCAGCCAAGGAAGTATGGCAGAAGGAAGCTTACCATTAACAATCAAGACAATCCCCTAGAGATGGGCTATTGGCCAATGGGAACTGGGCAATCCCTCAGTTGAGATTCACTTCTTGGAAGAACCGAGACTATGTCAAGTTGACGATTAAAGCTAACTAGTACAGAAGTGTATCATGTTTTCTCTCCCTCCTTCCCCTCACTTCCTCTTTCAAAAATAAAAATAATAAAAATAAAATGAAAACCAAGAGAGACAAACTAACAAGAAAAATCTGTGGGGAGGTGTGAGGATCCAGAGAAGGGAAAAGAAGATGATCAAAATATAGTATATATTTTTTTTCTTAAATAAAATTTTTAAAAAGAGAAAAATTTACCATGAACCTGCTTTATGGGCCTTACAAATCTGGGCTTTAGAAACACAGACCTAATGTTCATTCTTTACTAAGACGAAATCAACTGCCCTCAGAGATCATAAAAGTTGTCCATAGCTCTGTGAAAGCAGTTTCCAGTCTTGAGGAAAAGAGCCTGGAAACGGTAAAATAAATGTTTTCAAGATGAGTTGATGATCAATGAGGACACTGTAGAACCCATCACATGACCAACCTAGGGAGAGGAACAGTGTCCACCTCACCTGTGTTGAACTCCATCTCTCACGGACTCCACCACACAGTGCCAGGGCTTTCCTTCCAACAAAGGATGGAGGGGAACAAGCATCATGATGTTTTGAGCAGAAAACTATACAGGATGATAGAATTTAGAATCCGGAAGGTCCTCTCTCCATGCCTCCAACTCCATGCTGAGATTTACTGTCTGTCACACTGTCTACTGTAAACAATGCCATCTCAAGGTATTGGGAAACGATTCCCAGCACAGTGTCCCCATCAGGGGTCCAATAAATAGGACCAGCCTCAAGACAAAAATCCCACTACACGTCACGCTGTCTTCCAGCTTGGCAGAGCTCTGGAGAGCTCATTAACTGCTTCATACAAATTGATGGTGCCTTTTAGAGCAAATATTTTTCCAGGCTCTGTGTAACTGGTTTGTGAATGCATACATATCCACCTACTCACAGACCTGGTTACATGCCCCAGGGCCACTGGCATTCTCCCAGTAGGTACACACTACTGTATAATCAGGTTGTCAGAGGCTGCTGAACACACATTCTCTTGCATTTTGGCCCAAATGTACATGTTTCACACTTCACACTAATTATCTCTCATGGAGAACCAGCCAAGAAAACACAGGAATGCATGCGTGCCTTAAGGCGTGGGGGTGGGAAGGCAGGGAGGGGAAACAAGCAAAAACAAATAAAAAAGTAATTGAAAAATCACAATTTCCCTACTGTGGATGCATTAAAGTAACTGAAGGTTGTGTTTTCACACATTTCTGAGGAGTCGGTGTTGGTTAAGTGGTGGCGCTCGTGGCTGGATGAGCGCACTGGATGTTGGGGAAGAATCACTAGCCATAGTTACCTTTTTAGAGCTTTATTGGGAGAAAAAAGGGGGAGAGGAGAGAGAGAGAGAGAAGAGAGGGAGAAAGAGGGACCGCACGGGTCGGGGGGGAGTACAGAAGGAGAGAGCGCGGAAAGAGAGAGGGCACAGAGGGCACACCCGCTTTTTAGGCTGGGACGCCATTGCAGGCTGGTGACGTAATTAAGGACATAATGCTTACAGTCGGGGTGAGGGGGGAGAAAGTCCTTTTTAGGGTAATCTTCTAAACTGCTCAAAACAAACACTGCCTGTAGCCATTATGGCTGAAAAGAGGGGTGTAAGTGAGTGACTGGGTGGTGACAGGGACCCGTTGGTGAGTTAGCTTCTGCAGGCTTCACCAACCCTGATCTGATCGTGTTTTCCAGAGTGAGGGCAGCGACTGTGAATGCAACCCTACTGGCAAGAACTTCCCTGAAAACCAAATCCTGATCAAGCGCATGATGATTAAGTGTGCTGACGTGGCCAACCCATGCCGACCCCTGGACCTGTGCATTGAGTGGGCCGGGCGGATCTCCGAGGAGTATTTTGCACAGGTGTGCTGCTGTGTGAGAAGTGTCCCTTTCCTTCTAGGAACAGGCCCCGGGCCATAGAACCCTGTGGGTTCCGCAGCTAGTGATGGCCTCTTCTCTGGAAAGGACATACTTCAGCCCTAGCTAGAGCAGACTTAGGATTCTCTCTCTCAAGGGACAGGCCCATGTACTAGTCACTGACCAAAGTCCTCTAGGACTGGAGGGATAGACTAAGACTTTGTTAGTCAATTCTGTAATTGTTGGACCCCGAACTTTCATAAGTTCATAGATACAGACATAGGTAGGCCCACACCTTGGTTCAAAGGGGCGGCGGCGGCGGGGGGGGGTGGGTGGGTGGGTGGTCTAGAGAGATGGCTCCGTGGGTAAGAGCACTTTCCACACAAACAAGAGGACTTAAGTTCAAATCTTAGCACCCATGCTGAGAAGCAGGGCATGGCCATGTGAGCGCCTTTGGCCCCAGCACTATGTATGGGCACAGACAGGACTACTGGGGTTTGCTAGGTCCAGAGAGATCTTGTCTCAAAGGAATGAGGCAGAAATATGATAGAGCAGGGCCCCTGACATCCCTTTGTGCACGTGCACCCAAACACACATGTGCATATATGCCACACATAATACTCACATGTATGCATGCACACATACATACATACATATACATACCAAAAACTAACAAAGAACTACTCCTAAGGCTGTATCTGTGCTACATTCTACAGGGATTCAGATTTTTTTCCTAAAGGAGAAAGGGGCTTTACAGAGTGAGATTAGAGTTATATTTTTGATGGATTTAAAAATGTAAAAACAGGATAAAAAGAGAAAACTCCAGGAGACAGTAAACTGCCAGATGGCTTCTGGAGTCTTACTTCAAAGAAGAAAGCCTTTAAAGACTGGGGTCCGTATGTGTGACGGAAGACAGATCATTAGCATCTGTAAGTGATGCATAGGCGTGTGCACTATCTGGCTGGAATGTATTACTGAGGCAGGATAAAGAATAGCTAACATCTTATAGCAGGGCTGTCTGGGAAGGAGCCTCTGAACTGCAGAAAAGTAGGGCAGGCAGTTCTGAGCTTACCCATGTTGGGGAGGGGAAACCAGGGGATTGGGGAGGGAAGGAGTAGAGAGGATGAGGGGGTGAGGTATGGACCAAATTACTCCAAGAATACCAGTGGATATTTTAAGGCTACTTGATGAACTGAGTGAGCTGAGCCAGAAGTCATTAATGGGTTTCCTGGGACCCACATGGAAAGAATTTGAAGCCTTACCCCTAGTTACTGACACTGGGAGAATGGTCCACTGTTAAGTTCTCTGCTGGAAGCTCCCACCTTAGGTATCCTTTCCCTAACAAGAACGTAGTGATGGCACCAGTATGACCTAAAAATCGGGTTGCAAATGAAGCCTGTGATGAGCTCCGGGCATTATTAGGAAATGTGGATCTCACCATTCAGCTTCCAGAGTCCAGGCAGGAACATACAACATGCAGCATACTCAGATTTCCAGGCACCTTGACAGCCACGTGTTAATGCTCCCTGGGGAAGAGCGGCACATTCAGCTCACAGCTTAACTCAGGTCCCAGTCCTAGAGGCACCCTGACTGTGGCTGGAGCACGAAGACTTTCTGGACTTGCCATCTTGCCATGCAGAATAGTCAAAAGACATACATTTAAAGGTTAAGATTTTAAAAACAGGTCATTCTCGCAGCTGCATATATGTCATTTTTAGGTGAAACTAGGTACAAACAAACAAACAAAAACCCGCACGGCATGCAGCCGGGAATAGAGTGACTACTGTTCCTGACTCATGTGGTCCACTGCCTCCCTTCCATGGGCTATGGGCAGTTTGGCCTTGGCTGCAAATGCCAATTAGTGGCAGCAGACTAAATAGGAGTATAGATCCGACTTTAAAAATAAAAACAGCCGGGTGGTGGTGGCGCACGCCTTTAATCCCAGCACTCGGGAGGCAGAGGCAGGCGGATCTCTGTGAGTTCAAGGCCAGCCTGGTCTACAGCGTGAGATCCAGGAAAGGCGCAAAGCTACACAGAGGAACCCTGTCTCGAAAAACCAAAATAAATAAATAAATAAATAAATAAATAAATAAATAAATAAGTAAGTAAAAACAGATTATAGAAAAAGGGGCTAAGGTTCACTAGATCAGTGCTTCAGGAGGAGCCTTGGATTAGTACAAAGTGTGCCATGAGGGCTCTTTGGGAAACACTGCCCTAGCATCCCTTAGGTCCTGAGTTCAGGGGGAGGGGGTGGAGTTGAGGGAGAGAGAGGGACCTGAGAGCGAGGAGACCTGCATACAATTGCTGTGTGTCCTCTCAGGAAACTGCTAAGCCTCTCTGCACTCTGGGGTTCTTCTGAGAAACACGCCAATTCCTGTGAAGGCTTTTCACGTGCCCCACAGCCCTGTGCAGAGGTGTTTTTGTTTTTCCCCTCCCAGACTGACGAGGAGAAGAGACAGGGGCTCCCTGTAGTGATGCCAGTGTTCGACCGCAATACCTGCAGCATCCCCAAGTCCCAGATCTCCTTCATCGACTACTTCATAACGGACATGTTTGATGCTTGGGATGGTAAGTTGGATGCTGTTTTATCACCCATGAAGGACATTTCATATACTTAATGAAGATCACCTATAGGGGCATAGGCTGGGTCTAAAGGTAAATGAAATATAATTATATTTATGTGTGTATATATGTGTGTGTGTATATACATATAAATACACATGCGCACACATGCACATACACACACACACACACACACACACACACACACACACACACACACTATGAGCCCTTTGTGGGCAATTAGAGTAGGTACATCCTGGCATCTGGCACAATCTTGAGTGTATCAGGCCCAATGAACGAGTGTTACTGGACGAATAAGTCTTCACCTTCTCAAAGGACAGATTCCCAAAGTGGACAACTGTTTCATTCTCACACTGGAAGAAATTCCATTAAGCAAAATGTATTTCATTCTCTGTGACAATTTCAGGTTCAAGAGATTTACGTAAAAAAGCCTGTTTGTTTCAGCAGCTAATGCGTGTAACTCATAGCTCAGGGTGGAGGACTGATTACCTAGTGTACAAGGCCCTGAGTTCAACTCCTAGCACTACAAAACAAAACAAACAAATAAATGAAAGAAAGAAAGAAGGAAGGAAGGAAGGAAGGAAGGAAGGAAGGAAGGAAGGAAAGAAAGAAAGAAAGAAAGAAAGAAAGAAAGAAAGAAAGAAAGAAAGAAAGAAAGAAAGAAAGGAGAAAAGAGAGAAAAACCAGTGTTCTCATGCATATGTTGACTTGAAGCCTGAGGCCTCGGGGATGTCTGTCCTGTTCTTTTTGTGGGGTACATATGCAAACAGACGTCAGGGGTCATCCTTGGGTGCTGGACTTCAGGAGCCAGCCACTTTTCTTTATACAGAGTTTCTCATTGGCCTGGAGCCTCCCAACTGGGTTAGGCTGGCTGGCTAGTGAGCCCCAGGGATATCTACCTCCCCAAAGCTGGGATTACAGGTGCATGCTACCATGGCCAGCTTTTTATAAGGCCTGGGGACTATGCTCAGGTCCTCAAGACTGAATGGCAAGCAGGTTCCTATCTCGCTACTTCTGATCTCCGAGGCCAAGCCTAATGAGTACTCCTGCGATCCAACTGACCGTAATGTGTTTCTTTGGATTCTGTTCATGCCCTTACAGCCTTCGCGCACCTGCCAGCCCTGATGCAGCACTTGGCAGACAACTACAAACACTGGAAGACCCTGGATGACCTCAAATGCAAAAGTCTGAGACTTCCATCCGACAGCTAAAGCGAGGCCAGGAAAGGGGCCTCTTGATCCACGATGGACACTGTGAACCATGGAGGAGTATAAACAGGAGGGTTTCCTTTAGAACGAAAACGACGTGTGTAGATTAAGGAGCTGGTGTTTAATATCTGAACTGAATCATGCACGCCCCCCCCCCAATTTCATTTTTCAGAGCATTTATATTCCATCAGTAAAAATATGTTCTTTTGAATCACGTAGTGACCTAATGGCCCACCCGGCAGCCTCCTCTGCCAGGCTGTGTGGGCCCCTACAGAACCACGGAGCTGACTGACTCACTGTAGTTACAAGCAGGACACGGGAAGCAGAGACCTGGCCTCTGTGAGTCCATCCTTCTGATGGAGACCAGGGAGCTTAGCCAGTGTTCAGTTCGACTTTCACCAGAAAACTCACTACTGATCTTCAGCTTCACTGCTTTCCTCCACGGCAAGAGTGTGAAGGACTCCTAAAAAGCTTCTCTGAGGAGATATATGCAAGGAAAAAAGCTACTTTAAGATGGGGAGAATAGGACGAGATCGTCAATAAACTAGTTAGCATCACGGCTCCCAGGGCTCCACGGTCAGTAGTGTGATGCCCAAGGAAGAGCACAGCCTTGGCCTGGTGACTGTTCCTCAGATGGGTGTCAGCCACCTGTGGAGCCTTCTTTCCTAGAAGGATCTCGCCTTTTAGGAAGCCAACTGATGGGGAAGGAGTGGGATCCTGCTTGGGGGGGGGGGGTGGTCCTTGAGTGTCCCTGACTTCAGGCTCATGGACACCGCCACAGGTCAAGAGTATCTATAAAAGCCATTAAATCTGAATGCTCATGGGCAAGCTTTTTTAAAAAATACAAAATTTAAGAGAAGAAAAAAATTTATATATATATATATATTTGCTGTTCAAAGATTTTTATTAAAATAATCTAAATGCCCTGGATCTTCACCCCTAGAGTTTGCTGGGCATTACCTGTACATCTGTATTTGGGGAGGAAATGGGCAAGTTTCAAGGTTCAGATCGTCTTCATTTATATTTGAGACCATGCCATTTGCTTTAATGATGTAAAAAGGGATTGCAAGAAGTGTAAATATATCAGAGCATAGGCATATGGAGAGGCAGTAAATACTATTTTAAGCTACTAACTGTATGGTAAGCTTCTGAAGCACAAGTGCATATTTTTATACAACTCTTTTCACAACTTTCTGTGCTCTGCGTAAAGTCAGACTTGAGGTTTTTCCTTTCTCTCTTTTCAGCCATCCCTTCTCTCTGTATTATGAACGTCAGAAACGAAGTAAACAAAGCCCCTTAGTTTTATTTTATCTGTACTCCATGATGCATTCTTGAGAGGCACAGAAACTGAACTAATTGAACCAGTAGCTACATTTTTCCAAATGAAAATTGGACTGCAGACTATGTAAAAAATCGGTACATGGGGAAGAAAAGGACAACTTATCACTACGTAATGTGCCAATGTTTTTTTCTGTGTTTTGTACCAAAGTGTAAACATATATGACAATTCCATGCACAGAAATGCATCTAAATTATTTTTGTTAGACAGTAAGAGGGCTTGCTTGGCCGGACAGAGCTGGCTTTGTATTGTAGTGCCGCATTGTGTACGTGTGATGAAATGTTTTGTGATGTACTTGTAACTAAATTCTTACAGTCATTTTTTCATTCCCTACAGCTGTTTTTATTTTATCTCTTTGGCCTAAACTTTTCATAATTTCAAACTTGGGGTTCTAGTGTCCTTTATTTCACGAGTCGCCAAGCCTGTTTTCAGAACACTGATGTCAGAGTGCAGGATCTCAGAGACAAAAGCAATCTCCTCGGCCTTCAGAAGCTTGCCGGATACAAGGACAGTCTTTTTCTGAGCAGCTTGCTTTCAGCCCCACTTGGGAAGGAACACTTGCCAGGCACCTGACATTTCCTACATAAAACGCTGCAGCTTGCTCAGGGTTTCGTAGGCTCGATTTCATGTCAACTTCAAATGTTAATAACATGTGGGTGTTAAGTGCTGGAAGTCATCCAGGTAGCAAAGGTTCCGTATAATGTGCTCGTTATCAGTGTCAATTACAGATATCTTCTGAGTTGCTAAGAGGCATATTTACTAGAATCATGGACTTTCAGGTAATGTTCACACATCTCAGATAATTTTATGTGATACATACAAACTATTGTAAGTGTCTCTTACTCCTGTTTACGATGACACCATGTGTTGAGAGGACCTATATTAACTTAGGAAAACATAAAGGCAAGGAAAGTCATGCTAATACTATTATTAATTACTCTGCTGAAAAAGGGAAGTTAGCTGTAAAATACTGTTACATGAACCAGAATGGTTCCACAGTTTCAGCCACTCTCAGTCAGGGGTGGCCACCCTCCCCAGCAAAGACCAGGTATCATCAGTTCAATTGGCACCCATTTAGCCTGTGAGCAACAGACAAGAGTGTGTTGCACAAACGCATCCAGAGACCCAGCTCAAAGTATTTTAAGGGCAAGCGACAAGGCACACGACACACAGAGATCTGGCACAGATGGCTAAGTGAGCGAAGTAGGAAAACATGCACAGAATATGTACTGGTCTTAGCTCTGAGTTTCTTCCTCTAGACTGCAAGTTCAAGTCTTAGGAACAGTCTACATGGAACTACTCAACAGCAAAGGTACTGATCCTTGCCACGGTCACCTATCATGCTCCACTTCCCTGACCTCGGGGCACTCACACCAGGTTTCTCAGGAGGCTGGCAGTTCCCCTCGGAACACACTAGTTCTAACCAGTAGTGAGAAACTAGTTAACTAGAGTGAAACAACAGCAATGCTTAACTCAGATCTTAAAACTGCTCTTAAAACTCAAGCACGGCCGGGCGGTGGTGGTGCACACCTTTAATCCCAGCACTTGAGAGGCAGAGGCAGGTGGATCTCTGTGAGTTCGAGGCCAGCCTAGTCTACTGAGTGAGTTCCAAGACAGCAAGGACTAAACAGAGAAACTCTGTCTTGAAAACAAACAAACTAACTAACTAACTAACTAACTTGAGCATGGCTTCTGCCACTCCATTTGAATAGATACAAAACACGAATCCAAAACAGACTAGGAAACAGTTATTAAAAAAACAAACAAAACAAAACAAAAAAAACCAACAACAACAAAAAAACCCCTGTAAATTCCTTGTCTTATCTCATTAAAAAAACATCTTAACTAATGGCCTAATACAAAATTTGCAAAGAAAAAACTAGCTAGTAAAAGTTTATCTATGGAGCAAAATTCAGAGCTTTAAGTGAGTCTAAAATAAAATAGCCAGACTGACCAGCAAGCTGATGCACAGAGCAGACTGCATGTCTGCCTGGCTGATGGGTGCTACCCACATTTCATCTTCGGGAGGAAGGATGAGAAATTGGCCTCTTGTGTTGACTCCTCAAATAACAATGGTTTGCTGGCTAAAAGATAGTTAATTTTCTCATTCACATGCTATGTCCTAATTAAGGTAGCTTATATTTTAATATTCCTTTTTCCTACTTGCAAAGTGATGAGTGATGTTAGGCATTTCATTGTGAAGGACAACAGCAACAAGGGCTGTGGACACTGATTTTCCTAACACGGTCACCATGAAGTCCTCCTAGTCTCTCCCTCTCTTCCTGAACTGTTTTTAAGGCTGTTCAATGATGATGGTGGGCACTAGAGAGCGGGCTACCCTCTGCTGGTCTTGGTTTCCTCATTTCTAACATTTTGCCATTGACCCACCTACAGTCTTAATGCTACCAATCTTCGTAGGCAGCTGTGAAAGGGAACATTAAAACCTGTGAAAGGAAGAATTTACAGCATCCATCTAGGGAGCAGAGTACATGCGTGTGCATACACAAATATGCAGACGTACTCTTGGTGCCTAACATCACTCCTCTTGCCTGTCTTTAATAAGATTCCTTAATCATTAATTCAAGAATAATCCCCACAACTGTGTAGAATACACTTTATGTTTTAGTGCCAAAAGGGAGAATTTTATCATAAGGCTGGTAGGGAGATGGAGATGGTCCAGTCTTTGTGGATGTTCAAAGAGCCAATAGTGAGGCTGTCCTTGACTGTTTCATATTAAGGCAAAGGCAGAGCAGATACCAGGGCAATTCCCTTGCAGTTCCTGACCTCAAAAAAGCTGTGTCCCTTTCCTAGTCCAGGACTCACCACAGAAACACCCAAGTACTATTCTGGCCAATGAGTGTTCAGGCCATTCACACTGAGAAAGACATACACCCTTAGATGATGCCTGTGGACTGGAGCACAGAGGGATTTTGGTAGGCACAATTAAATTTTTTTCAGTGACTTAAATAAGTTGGTACCAAAAAGAATCATTGTATTTAAAGAATACAATTCTTTTTTGGTTAATCAAGTGAACACTGATATCTACTAAAGAACAGGAGAATTTGTAGCAGGATGGATATATTTATCCTGACCGTTCTTACACAGTCTTTAAAGGAACCCAAAATAAAACATGTAAATAATGTGACTTATTTTAGTTACCTTTTTTTCTATCATTTTTAAAAAACAGAACACAGCACCCTCCACTTCCAGCAACAAGGTCCAGTGGAAACTTGTGCTAGGTTCCTGGGTGGACACACTTGTTGTTGACAGACAGACAGAACTTCATAGGCAAGAACATTACAAATCTAAGTGATCGGTGTGTTATGGTTTTCAGAGTGCCGCTCTGTATTTGCTCTCCAAGGCTCATACATATGTATTTGTCCAGTTCCTTCAACTAGACAGCAGGGTATAAGTCACCGTCCTCCTCTAACTTCTGAAATAACTTGATGCTTCGGAATCCAGATTCCCGCTCTCCGTTTTTCCACAAAATAATGAGATGATCTGCAGAGCATGTTACCAGTCCATGATCTTCGAAGTATAGAAACATCTGTGAGATAAATTGAAACACTAGTTTAAACCCATCAAGAAGAGGCCAAAGCTAGATCAGCATGTGTACTTCTAACAGACGAGGGTTTCTTTGGATTTGAATGCCAAGTTGTTTCATTCTCTAATGAGTAACTTTCTTGTTTTCAGTGTTGGTGAGCCAAGCTAGGGTCCCATGTGACTGCTCTACCACTGAGCCTTCTCCCCTGCCTTTGCTGTTGTGAGCCAGGGCTCACTTCTCTAGTCTAGGCTAGCTCAAAGGCCACAGCCTCCTTCTGCATCAGCCTCCTGCGTGCTGGGATTACAGCCATATGCCACTAAGCCTAGTGAAAATTTTCCCTTTCAAAAACCTATTGGTACAACCAATATTTAATATTTTAATGGGTTTTCTTGATCAACTACAGAACTACAGTAACAACCATTTCTCAGAGCATCTTCCGAGTTTACCACAATCTCATTATTCACATACTAGCTTTAAGATGTGGTCAGGTGCGGGTCCTCTCACACTTGCATTATTTAGTAAAAAATGGCTACCAACCAAATTTCCTGAGATAAACACTGACTTGGGTGTTTCTGTAAAGCAGAGGTGCTGAGTCAGTGCACCGCATTTACCAAGTGACTCCAGCTTGGAAGCCAGCACCAGCTGCAACCACAGGGTCCCAATGACAGATTCTGTAATCAGTTCTGCCCTCTGGCATGCCACAGGAGAATGGAGATCCAGCATGGCACTAGAATTATCACTGGGAGAAAACTCTCTAAGTAAAAGGAAAGGACGTGCTAGGGAAGGGAGAGGATGGAGGCTAGGTGTAGAACCGATAAAGGATTGAGGCTGTGGATGGAGACAGTGCAGAGGTTAGAGAGAAAAACCTAGGAGTAGGGTGAGGCCCTTTAGTGACCCAGGGTAAGAAGGAACAAGAGAGTAAGGTCAAAGGTCAGGACTTCCTGATGACTATGGAGCAAAAGAGAAGAATATGGTGGTGGGGGGGGAGAATTTCTCAGGGGACTGGGTTTCAGTGCATGGGTAGCAGGGCCGGGTCACCAGTGCATGGATAGCAGGACTAGGTCATCAGTGCATGGGTAGCAAGGCTGGGCCGGGCAGCAAGGATGAGAACAGAAGCTGTGAGGATATTCAGGAAGCAGCACCTGGCAACAAGGGTCTGAACTTGACAATGAAGCCAATGGTGCTTTTTAAAAATGCTGCCATGCAGGATGAGGGCCAGCTCGGTGGATGACAGAGTGCCTGCCTAGCATGTGGAGGATGGAATGCCTTGGGGGACAGCGAGGAGACAAAAGTGTAAACACTTTCAAGGACGTTCCTAAACCTTTCACTTATATAATGATAAATGCGCCATTTCAAAGGTCTCCTCTACCACTTAAAACTTCTAATGGGGGCTGAAGAGATGGCTCAGCTGTTAAGTGCACTCGCTGACTGCTCTTCCAGAAGGCCTGGGTTCAATTCCCAGAACTTACATGATACCTCACAACCAGCTGTAATTCAGTCCCTGGGGATTACAACACCCTCTTCTTGCCTTCCTGGGCCTACAGGCAAAACACCCATAACACGTTTTTAGTATGTTCAATGGGTTCCCAATATTTTAAAAATAAAGCCCAAACTCTTCTTACTCAGGCTTTTTTCTCTGACTAATGTCTGTTCATGGAAACCCAGTGATTCCATCCAACCCATCTGCCACAACAAAAACACTATCTGTGCCTCTGTCTACCACACCACGGTCATGCTGACCACCTGTAATCTGCACCACAGGCACTCAAGCAAAAACAACATTGAAAAC